TGTGTCCAGATAATGAGACAGACTAGAAAGTGAAAGATAACTGGGAAATAAAAAAGAAAACAGTTGTGAAGTGGCTGTAGTAAAAGTAAATGGTCTGGTAAAGCTCCCAAATGACAAACTAGTCATTACTCGAGTTGTAGCTTGAGAAACGTCAGCTCAGACTCAGAGTTGCACATTTGTACAAAGGTTTTTATTTTGATATTCTGTCCATGAAACATGTGTCTTTTTATAATATATATATATATATATATTACACATTAAACTAATCCAATCCACTTAAACATTACTCCACCTTAAACCAAATTAATTTACATCAATTGCAGTTAGATCATATTTCACCAAAACTGGGAAAAACCAGATGCAGCTCAGAGATTAGTTTAGTTTGACATTAGCCCAGAGCCTCCATTGGTTAATTTATGATTTACAGAGCAAAAATTCTCTGAGAGCAAGCCCTCTTTTGCAGTAATTGTTACAGGCAGTTACATGATGAAATAAATACATTTAAAACTACAAAAGACAATAAGATACAATATCTAAATGAGGACAGAGGATGGTCACATTCAGTTTAGAAATTAGTATTCTGAAAGTTTTTTCATCCGAAAGTAATAAATACTAATCTCTATGGTGATTTTAAAGGGATTGTTCACCCAAATTACACAAAAGAACAATAGATTTCCCAATTTCTTTCTAGTGATATCTTTTGCAGCTTTGGAAATATCAGATTGCATTTAGAAAACCCAGCAATATTTCTTTCCAGAATCAATGCCCTGTTAATCTGGATAATCCCCAAATCACCATCAACAGTTTATTTGGTTAATTTTTATAAGGAAACAGTGTGTTCAGTGGATTATCCTGACTCACTTAAATTATTTTAATTGAATTTCCAATTTGAGCTCCAAATTAAATCCCATTGACCTCCATTGTGGGGAGACATCTTAAAACCTGCACATAAAAACAAATCTATGTTTGCCCGGCTAGACATCACTAAAGACAAATGAGACTGAACCGAGCCTTTCATTTCTAAAAGAAGAGGACAGCACTGAACATGTTTGAGGTATTGTTGGTGAAGTTTGAGACTTCAGCAGCACTGGATTTTCCATGATTTGATCTTTTTACCTCAATTTATGAACATAAAAACATGTTCTATTGGCTTGATGAGATAATATATGACCTTGAATACAACAGAATAAAGTACAATATGTATATATTGAATGGAAATGGACATTTTTCTGCATCTTGTGTACCATGTCTTAATCAACTTCAGCCAGACCCACAGAGGAAACTGAGTGGGGTTTCTTCTCCCATCAGGCCTCTGAATGACTCCTGGACTGCAGTGGCATGACCTAGTTTGCCCACATTTCCCAGAATGAGGAGGAGCCGCCAGCCGCTATGTCTAATTCTACCCAATGGGTTTAATTAGCTTTGCGTGTCGGTGTGAATGCACGCCAGAGGTGGATATATATACTGTAAGAGCCTCTGTATGGTAAACAATTCGGGCTGAGCGTGCTCGGCAGCGATTTCCATGCTGAGCGTGCTCGGCTTTGATTCAGGGGGAATATTTGTTTGGAAATGTAGAGTTGAGGGTAAGCACTCTGAAGAGGAGGGAAGCAGTGTCTATTGAAAAATCTACATGATGACACAAACAATTATGAGGAGAATTCATAACACGGCCAAGATGGCTCCCTATGACCTATTTTGGATGTTTCCCCTGGCAAAGCAGCAAGAGGGGTGGGGAGAGAGAGAGAGAGAGATGACTGGAGTCTATTGGGGCTGAAAGCAAAATATGAAGAGACTATTACTGCTGGCCAGGTCTTTCAGCACCTCCTGCGATAGCAAGTAAAGAGAAAAAAATAGAAAAAGAAGGAGATCAAAAAGAGGAAAGGTTCTGGTTAAAGGTTTAGTGCAAAGTGATGCATTGAAAGAAAGAATGGAGAGAGAAGTAGACTGAGAAACACAGGAGAAAGTGATACAGAGAGAGAAGGAGAGAAAGAGTAAGAGGGGGATGTGACCAGTATTGTATTTCATCTCTGTGTAGTGGACGTCTTAATCAACAGTGTCAGGTTTTCTTTCTGGAGCCTGCATGGTGTTTTTCATGCTGACAGCGGAGGTAACATGTGAGTGGCAAACAGGACAGAGAGGAGGATGGGTCTTCATTTTGCTCATAAGCAGCACCAGCTTGCATTAAAAAAATATGTAAATAATATAAGTAATATTATTGTTTTGTGCAGCCATTCGTGTGATGAATTAAAGATGTACATTAGTACTGTTTATATTTGTCTTATCATTAACTTGACGGTCACTTTGAATTGCAATAGCCTGCGAAATGTACAAATAGCATAGAAGATGTTGCTCAGGTTTGTGCAAAATGTTCTTGACATTTTAATAATTTGATGTCCTTCCTCAAAAAATAAATGTTAAAAAGATGCATTCATATTAAAAATGTTTTGTGTTGTATTATAATTTTGCAAATCTGAGTTCTGCATATTCCAATGCCAAAATGCATTACAAATGTTACAAAGGTTTTAGGTACCAGGCCAATAAAAATCACATCATTATGGAGTATTATAAGAATATTATGTATTATATTGGCACCAGAGGATACAGACACATACTATGAAGTCTGATAAGTTTGGCAAAACCAAATTGTATTAAAGCACCTCCAGGACACTGTAAGTCCCTTTATGGATATTGTAGAAATACTGTATGTAGCATAGGTTTTCAGATCCTCTGTTATTCATTATTCAGGATTGTAATTTTCAATAATTTAAGGAAAAGTTGCAATAAATCTCTACTAAAACATGTTTATATAAACCTGCATTTCTGCATTAGTCTTCCTGTGCTCTGTCTTTTAACTCTTTGGATTAATTTGGTTCATCTTTATGGATCTTCAGTAAATTCTGTTATATGTCGTTATGTGTCTGTTCTCCTCTTTATTTTGAAAACTGCAACACAAATAAAGGCTATCATTAAGGACTATTTTATTACAAAATATTCCAGTCCTGCTTTTAAGATGAAGTTAAAGTCATGCAGTACTCATTATTAGGTATGGCTCCCTTCAGAGTGTGAAATTAATGATGCATTAAAGTGAAAGCAGCATTTTAGTGTTGTAGCTGCTCCAGGTGGCATAACCTCTTTGAGTCAATCGTATGTTTTGACCATTAAATCTGAATAAGAAACTCAACTCCAGAAAAGAAGTTTAAAGTTGAGCAAAATATCTGTAAATACTCAAAACTATACCGCCAATATCCAACTGTGTCTAATACATTATCATGCGCAGGAAATACAAAATATAACTAAAAAGTGTTGCAACAGATTTTATTGGTTGAAAATACTGGGATTATTGAAGTAATGTCACAAGAAACAGAAAAAAACCTATAGGATAATTTTTGGAGACTATATGAACCTATCGGGTTATAGAAAATATAGAAATTATAGAAATAGTATATGAGAGCATATAAAAGAGCACAATAGGGCGCATAGGGAAAAAAGTGTGAAGAACTATGCGCATATAGGAATCTTATGGGGATATTTCCGTGCAGACTTCTGTACATCCGTGTAAAATAAGGGACATAAAGTTGTGACTGATGATTATTTATTGTAACGGTGAAATATGCTGCAAACAGCCGTGCTGTAAACAGTGAGCCGGCCAGGAGAGCTTTTATGGAATACATGTAACCCTACTGGAGGGTGACACCTCTTGATTTATGGCTGTATTTAGATAAGACGCGGCCGTAAATGGTTTCTAAATAGCGTCAAGGTCATGTAATGTAATGGGATAATGTTTTTAGGCGATGGAGATAAGATGATGTGTTTAGTGTGTGAGGAGCTGTGGTGAATTAATGCGGAGATAAAGCCGCTACAGGCCTTTTCCTTATACTGCTGAGGTATGATGACAACAGGCCGCGGTCTGTGCCTGTCCCAAAAGTGCCAAATAATTCATCAAACTGTTCATTTACACTTACCAGAACGCCCTGACATATACCTTATGTTATTACTGGAAAAGGAGAGACTCTGATAATGTGCGCACAAAACGGTCATTACACGTTTAAGAAAATATGAAAAATGTTAGAATATCTTTAAACAAGCATTAGGCTGAAGGATCTGGAAAGAAAAACATACAAATAATTTCATAGTTGCAGAGTTTATTTATGGCATGAAGCAACACATTGAAGTAGGATGGAGATTTAATTAGAACAATTGTCATGTTATTAACATCAAACAACATTTTACCTTCAGTTTTTTTGTTCATTCTTCGAAAGTAAATTCGTGTTTTGTAAATGAAACAATTCCTCTATCAAAAAATAAATCGTTTTTCAATGACTGGTGTACTAAATCTCCATATATGAGCCTTTGTGTCCTGTGCGTGAAATGTATTTGAGAATTCAAATAAAGCCGAGGATTTTTCCCCCTTCTCTTTTAATCTCATGCGCAACTTCAAAATTAAACGGAATCCCTGATTTTAAATCCCTGCTGTGTTCATGTAGCCAATTTTCCTACTTGATTGACCACGAGTTAACAAATAAGTAACACAAATTATTTTCACCACTGAATTACAAAAATCACACCTAATAAACTGTTTAAGCAAAACCGAGGGTGCGTAAATGATGTGCGTAAAACCTCTCCAAAACAAAAACAGGACAAAAATCCTATTTTTGAATACAAAACTTGAGACAGTTAAACAACTTTCTCCCTCATGTGTGCACGTCTGTGTAGCTAGCAATCAACTCCAACCAGCAGATATTTTCTTCCTGTGTAGTGCAGTGAGATTATGGCACCACGGCGCATGTTATTCCAAACCTCTCCAGACACTCCTCCCATCCTGGGCGCTTTCCTCTATTGGCTGCCTCCTTTCCACGCTGACATCCAAACCATATAAACCTGGGGGCCTCACACCTTCATCAGGGTCAAATTTCTTGGGCAAATCAGAGCAGCCTCTCCGGGAAACGATCGCAAGGAAGAAAACACAAGTGGAGCGCAGCACATCGCCGATATTTTGCTCTCTGGAATTATAAACCTCCTCACGGCCTATTTCACCTCGGCTGAAGTCGCTTACAGAATGACGACCATGTAAAAGTTGGTGGCTACGTCTGGCTAGACTCGTTAATGCTTTCGGAGGGGGGGGTACATATTTAAGTCTTGAATGAGTTCTGTTGGCTGTAGATCCCCGAGCAGAGACCGTTTTGGGGCAGCAGCAGAGACAGAGCGAGGGAAAACACGGCAAAGACCACATTTGTTATCCCGCTCAACATGAACCTCATCGGGGGCTACCAGCATCACCACCACCTGATGCACGAACCCTTCCCGTTTGTCCAGCGGTGTCACCAGGATGCGCCGTATTTCCAGAGCTGGGTGGTGAACCACGGCGAGATGCCCCCGGACTTCCAGATCCAGGCGCCCTACCCGGCCGCGGAGCTCGGGGCGCCGGGAGAGACGCACGATGCCCGGCTGGAGGGGCTCCAGGCGGGGATGGGGAAGAGGCGAACGTCGGGGCCGAAGAAGGAGCGCCGGCGGACGGAGAGCATCAACACAGCTTTCGCCGAGCTGAGGGAGTGTATCCCCAACGTCCCAGCGGACACAAAACTGTCTAAAATTAAAACTTTACGCCTGGCGACCAGTTACATCGCCTACCTGATGGACGTCCTGGCCAAAGACTCCGGGGAGACGGAGGGCTTTAAGGCCGAAATTAAGAAATTTGAAAACCGGGATATGAAAAGGAAACGGGAGCCGGTAAGTTACGAATCGAGAAGCCTCCAAAACGTTGATGTTGATCAAAATAACCCCAAAACAAACCAGTAGGTCATAAGATTACGTTTCTGAGTCATTGTAAGCATAGCTGGAGGCCTGGAAAAAGAGTTCAAATGGACAAGGAGGGATGTAATGATATGATTCATAAGACTGCAGGAACCCAAACAGAAATAAATATGAAACAAGATTTTATGATTTGAAGCTTTTTTAAAGGTCTGATTGTGATCTAAATTGTACCTACAATTCCCATATGATATATAATTATAATCATATATACATATTTTATTTTGAGCCAATAGATCCAAAGATGAACTCATTATATTTCTGTTGGTTATGATCCACTAGCCTATAACAAGGCTACAGTATCCACAATGAAACTTACAACTAAATAACTAAATAGATAGTTAAATAGAATTAAAAAAAACAACAGCAACACTCAGTTATATTTTTGATGTAAAATGGCGCCTGCTTAAAATATCTCCAGCTGTTGATCACCATAATGACAACCAGCCCACATCAGTTGTAGCTTCATTAATGTATAGTTATATTTCTCCATTTAAAATGATATTTGCTTACATATGTGTGTGTGTATTGGTCGTTAATGTTTGTGTTGACTATAATATTTAAATAGGCCTCATAATAAATAGTCCTATATTTACACTAAACACTGCAATTCAAATGTGGCTCAAGAATACTGTTGTTTGTTTTAAAATATGCATCATAATTAAATATTATAATATGTGATATATTCTTGGTATATAAATATGGTCAATTCTTTGTAAGTTTTAATGATAGCCTGTGATATTATGGCCCCCAAAACCAGCATGCACCATTATCTGGCACCAATGTAGGACCTTCGACTCTCAGATGAGCGTAAACTTGTGGTATAATTGTGTCGTGTAGAGATGTTGCATTATCCAATGAAAGTTCCGTTGACTCTCCCTGCACTGAGATACTGAGGTTAAGCTCCCTGTATTTTCGCCTCCCCTGCTGATGATAATTTGGTGTTTTTGGTGTCACAGACTGACGGCCTGCAGGAGTCATTAGGAGCCGAGAAGAAGGTGAAGGGCCGGACCGGGTGGCCGCAGCAGGTCTGGGCTCTGGAGCTCAACCAGTGACACCCCTCCTCCTCTTCCTCCTCCTCTTCCTCCTCATCCTCCTCCTCAGAGACTCTGGATTCAAATCAGATAAAAAAAAAAAAAAACCACTGACTGACTGAACCTAAACACACCGCTGTGCACGTGCAATGATGCGCAAAAAGAGAGAATTACAAGACAACAAGCAAACGAGGTGACCTACGAAGGGAAAACACCGCGATGGACTCTTTGTTGATCTTCTTTTTCTCCCGGTGTGGGTTTCTAACCCGACACACAAATCCGACTGTAGGTGTTTGATATTTGTGGTATTTCTGCTTTTTGATGCCCCCCTCTCCCCACCACCACCCCAGGTACTGTAGACCAGATGTTGCCACGGTGTCAAAAAACATCTGCCCCCCCTCCCCCCCCCAAAAATGT